ACACAAATTCACAACAGGTTTCTGAGTTAGAACTTGTCAGTTAAACACATGATACAAAATCAATCTCCAAGCACTACTAGAGCAGACCGGCAGTATGGCCTGCTGTTGAGGTGAGACTTGACAAACACAGGCAAAAACTGTTTTATAATAATCATTATTCAAATAAAATATAAATATTACTGGGTTCTTTGTTAACAAAAACATTTCAAAAACAAAAAAAATTCGGTCACAAGATCCTCATTAATGATGAGCTTACAATTTGCTGATCAGTTCCAGGCAGTCATTCAAAAGTATTTTGAGCTTTCCAAAGACAGAGCCAACTAGGTCTAGTATCTATAAACACACCCATTCAAATAGTTTCCCAAATGTAGGCAAACTTTTGATCACATGACTATATCCAGCTGAGTCTTTCTGGGTGTGTCAAAACACAAACTGTGTCCCACTTCTTTTCAAAAACACTACAAGATACGTTTTTGGTCAGTACATGTTACACGTTATTGTGTTAATATTCAGGGTAGAATTAAAACATAGTTGTATGTGTTATGAATACAAATATGAATCAGGCAATAAGCATAATAACTTTACTGTAAGGCCACTATGTTGAATCAAACTGCGAATAAATGATTTATGTTTGTGTTAAATGTTTTACTGGCAAACTTGCGAAAACCAGCTAAATGTATATTTCTTTGTTTTCTTGGCTCTCACTTCACTCTACACATTTCATTTGTTTTGTTCTAGCTTTATTCCAGCCGCTTGTATTTAAGAACACTTTAAAACATGTCAGGCAGTATCAATTATTTATAATTAGATATATGTTCACCTTTAACACTGCGACAGCATGAACACATTATGTTGAACATGACAGTAGGTATCAGTAATGAAACAACAGCCCACAGCGTAGACATGTGTTTATTTGCATGTGTACTGTCTGTGTTTACACAGTTGCAGACCCCAGAGATGACTGACAGCTAAATGCACCACAACTTTGCCCCCGGGGATCATCTCAACCTGCCACTGTATACATGCAAATACACTTCTTAAAGAACAGCTTTTGTAAACTAATACTTTGGGGTTTTGGACCGGCTTTGTGAAATCAACAATTTTATAGACGAAACGATTAAACAATTGACTTTAAAAAAAGAAAAGAAGATATTTATGTACAAATAGAAACAATAGTTGATGAAACACTATCATTAAATTATCTCATCAATATCCTTGTTGTCAAATATCACTGACCTTACAGCTAGTATAACCATGCAAATGATTGTATCTGATATTTTTCTAATAAAAAAAAGACTGGTCATCAAGTCAAGGGGATTGTCAGCTGGACAACAAAGGAGGGGGAATTTAAAGCCACCATCTGTAAGCATCTTGTCCCCTGGTCTCTGATGAGCAGCGCATTAAGTGGTTCAGACCACACGGGATTGAAGCGCTAGAAAGATAACAGTCTGTTATAGAAACACTGACTCGTGTACCATTAAGTGACTCCAGCTTTATAGTCTGACAGTTTTACGGCTGCATTGTACTGCCCACCCTTAATACATACAAGACTGTTCCTAACGCTTGCCAAAACCCATTCCCCCCTCCTTTCCTCTAGCATGGCAGACAGGGGTCACCTTAGACTGCCTTCATCAAGGGGATGTAACTCTGCCACATGCTTCTTGATCACACTAGTCTTAAAAAAGGTTGTGAAAAATCTTCGTGATTTTTGTTGGGCAGAAACAAAATAACTCGAATGTTCTGGTTTTGCAGATGCCATTTGAACTGTACACAGATCATTTTAAGCTGTGTTTTTCTGACGAGGGCCAAGAAATCCCTTTAGCACGATAAGGCTTCTTGAATTAAATGGGATTAGAAGTCAATGTTCAAAGCAGGTAATCCCCCCCAAAAAAGAGATGAACGCAAAGAGGATTCATTTCACTGCTAACACTAGTCATAAGAGAGAAGATGAGAAATGTGCCTTTAGCATTTTGTGTAATCCTGTCTCTTTTGAACTATGTGAGGCTCAGTTCAGTTTTTGTATTCTGTGCCACCAGAGTACAGTGATACCATTTTAGACTGTTGTATCTCTACTAGAGCTGAATGGTTAGGAATAATTTAAACCGAAATGTTCATAATTAATTAATTGTTTAAGTTGTTCGTCAAGCAAAAATGCCTAACACTCTGTGTCAAGGTTGATTTAATCTGCCTGATGTCCTAGTAAAATAAAAATGTTTGGATTTTTTGAGAGAGTTGATCAAACAAAGCATGCGATAAGGATGTCATTGAGGGCATCTGTCATTGTGTAGACCAAACTAATTGTATAATCAAAAACTGGTCAGCAAATGTAAAGCACAGAAAATAGTTTTTAGTTGCTACCCAGATACATCTGTATTATACTTTGTCCAATAGCAGCTGATGTCTTTATGTAATTAAACATTGAGAGGAACCACATGTTTATGTTGAACCATAAGTGGTTTAGAAAGACTTTGCGAAGGGGAACCATTTAAATCTAGTTCACAACTATTTTCATATGCAGAAAAGACACTATTTTGTTCAAAAACACCAGAGATGCAGCAGAAAACTCCGTCAATACCCTATTAGTTCCACTTCAAAATATGATTGTTTTGTTCATAATGGAGGCTGTAGCCTGGGGGACACAGTCTAGCATGCATGGGTTTGTGTATATACCACCACATTACTGGTTAATATGTAGTTATATATCCATCAGAGTATTGCATGTACTGGCATTACACTGCATTCCTGGGATAGCAAGCAACGCCAAAACAGCCATGGTTGGACAAAAATGGTCACACTCAAACAAGCTTAAGACACCATTTTGAAAATCCACCGATTTCTAGATAACAACTCCGAGATGCCATCTTGCCAATTATCACCAGATTAGCTACCGTTAGCATGGCTATTCAACCATTCCTAAACACCCCTATGCAGGAATATGTGCTGCTCACATAATAGTAACGTTAGCTTGTATGCTAGCCTGAAAAAAGCATCGCTAACCCGTAGCATCCTCGCATCCATCGGCACACGCTGCTAAAAAATTGCTAATTAGCAGGTTAGCTTGGTAAAGAATAGCAAACGACAATAAAAAAAAAAACACTCACATTGGATCAGATATGGCTGCACCGGAACAACAGCAGCTACTTTTACCGCCTGGACGCAAACAACTAAGGAAATACAAAACCTTGCGATACGGCAGTTAATGTCGGTTTGTTTCCGTTATTTAAACTAGCCCCTTTAGCTTAGCGCGCTAGTTCCACCACGGAGGACAATTGAAAGGATACTGAGGAGGAAAAAAAAACTGAAAAAAACGAACAACTACCAAGTCGACACATGGACATTCCTGCCCTCCATGATAAACATCGGACGAGACTTACCTAAACCACTCGGTCGAACAACAAAAAGATTCCCGTGTGCGTACGTGCTTTCTCCTGTGTCTGCTCTGCTCTGGGTCGGTGCGGACTGGCTCTGCTACAGCAGCGTTTTGTCGGACCAGTGGCGCAGAGAAGACAGCTTTCACCCGAAGAGACGGCCACCGTGTGGGGGATGGGGATGCACTGCCGGGAGGGAGAGAGGAAGGGAGGGAGGGATGCAGGGATGTAAGGAGAGAGGAGGGGGGGTCCCACCGATAACATATATAGAGAGGCTTTGATAAAAACCAAATAGTAGCCTAAAAGAATAAAGGTCGATATTGTTATAACCAAAAGAAAAAACAGCAGATGAGACACAATACCGTTAGTTACTGTTCAGTTTGACTGATACTGTTCGTACTCTCAATTATTAAATAATAGAACATTTGATTTTAATAGTTAATGCGAATATTAAAGGCTAGTCCACTAATGCATGCATAATACATACTAGATGTAAGGAAGATGGTCTATTGATAGCCTGTTGTATAATCACACTGTTACTTCTTTGTTCTTTTTTGTGTGTGTTCACTTTATGGATTGTGTCCGTGTTTTTTGCATTGATAAGAAATTACCAATATCAGTATGTCGTTGCATGATAATGTTATTATCATGCATATGGCGCTGTGGTAATATAAGTGTATGTTTACAAGAATCTGCCGTTATGCATATGCGATCAACATTTTCAGGCAGGAAAGTGTTATTTGGTCAGCAGCACTGTGGTGGTGAAACGGTATTACAGCACGGCTGCAAGTTCACGTCCACAAATTCATAGGCTTTCGCTTCGTGCATAAACCCAACCACAAATGTTGCTTCTCAGCGACAGCAAGGCAACGCCGCCCAGTGGTTATGAGTTGCTTTGCACCACAATGACTGAGTTATTCTAAATCTGCACAGTCTGTGAACATATGACTACCTGAAACCCACATTAAATTGTATCTTGAATGCCAAATCGTGCATTTATTTTTCTATCTATTTTTATTTATATGTAAAAATGTTTTAAAAATAATTGTACAGTTGTATTGCATTATCATTAAAACACATGATCTGCCACTTTCAATATAAATCCTACTTGCTGTTCAGTCTAAGTATTGTAGGATACATTCAACACAAGTCCATGTATGTTCCTTCAGTATTTATTTATTTGCTATTTGAATCACAAAAAGAACCCTTGATTTGTATACTTTTTGGCTTAGGCCTATTGGGGTTTTGAACTTTTGATATATATTTATATAATATGTGTACAACTTGTTTTTCACATACTTTTTAAGTCCTGTATTACATGAATAAATACGAATTCAGGGCAATTACTGACACATAGCTCCAGCGACAAAGGATTTGCTTTTAGGCAAAAAGCATAATTCCAGATGGTATTTGTGAACCTCTCGATAATATCGATATGGAATTGAAAACTGGTGAAGTTTCTACACTGGGCCAAACTATTTTCATACAGTCTATGATTGGAGACTCCCACTGAGTAGGCTTAGCCTACGGGTTTAACCCGTACTGTTACGACCAATTCCAGAGAACTACAGGTCCCAGCTGCCCTTGCGCACCACTACCACCACAAACAAAGAAGAGCCGCATACAAGCACATACACACAATTTGCGGGGATTTGAAAAAACATTGAAACATCTAAATATAATTAACAAAACGGCGCACTTTTAACAAGGATGATGTTACGTACAACTGTAACGGCAAGAAAATCAAAGACTGTCCGAGACATCGCGTGATTTCACGCTTCCGGAAGTTAAATAGCATGAGAGAGAGAGAACTGTCCGAGGTGCTGACACTGTGAGTAGTGCTGGTGCATGTCCTGATTCAGTCTACATACCTGTATATTTTAAATGTAGCCTATTTCTTTTTCTTATGCATGTTTTACCATCAACTTTACGTACTCTGTAGTTTGTATACCTGTGTTTTGAACTGAATATTGTATTCACCATAATAAAGGGGCAAATCACAACATCTCTTCTTGAACTGTTCTTAGTTATGTTATGTTTGATATCTACTCACCTCACTCACACACAGACACATATTCTTGTATTACATCATAAGACACACTATACTCTTTGAATATGCATCATGATCTTTGATTTTTTTTCTCCCATTTATGTATAAATACATTGTCAGAATTTGGGAAGATGGATGAATCACAAGAGTCCTGTATACTCAATGCCGAAAACTGCAGCAGCAGCAGCAGCAGTGCCCTCAGCAGTAAAACTGGCAACACTCCACAATGCAACGGTGCTTCAGAGTACAGGACCCTGCTCCATGTCCCTGAGTCACACGGTCTCCAGCTACTGAGCGTGCTCAGATCATTCAGGGAGCAAGGCCTGCTGTTTGACTTCACCATTAAGGTCCAGGAACAAAGTTTTCCCTGCCATCGATGTGTCCTTGCAGCATGCAGCGATTTCTTCAGGTATTTATCCATCTATCTATCTATCTATCTATCTATCTATCTATCTATCTATCTATCTATCTATCTATCTATCTATCTATCTATCTATCTATCTATCTATCTTTCTATCTATTGATCTATCTATCTGTCTAGTTTGTTGATAACTTCTCTTTGTTTAGGGCCATGTTTGAGGTGGATATGCGAGAGCGTGGTGATGGTTCAGTGACTCTGGGTAACCAGTGTCCAGAGGCAGTGCGTTTATTCCTGGACTTTGCCTATTCAGGAGAGATGCTCATCACTGATAGCAATGTAGACATGCTGTTTCAGCTTGCTTCTTTTCTGCAGGTAGAAATATATTATCATTTCTTCTTTCTATTTATATAAACATAAAGTACCTTGGGACAAGTCGACCAAGTGTGTGCCTTTTACCGGCGCCTTCCCACGCAGCTCAGGGTGTACTATACAAAAACTTGATGTATTGAAATGTCAAAGGTTTAAAAAATAAAATTACAGAAGGCTATATTCATTAGCTACGGTACACCCTTACAGATGTTTTCAACCTTCTTGACTAATTACACCTCCTCTCATGGCTGTGTGGTAATGTGAAAACACCTGAGTGGGTGTATAGAGTCAAATAATTTGAAGAATAACATTTATTAATCATCAAGTTGCCTAGTAAGATACATATCTCTCAGTGACAGTTTTTGAATATGTATTGCATGTGTCCTCAGGTCTCAGTGTTGTCCGAAGCGTGCAGCAACTTCCTGATAAGAGCCATGGATCTCAGTAACTGCCTGTCCCTATTCTCCCTTGCTGAGGCCTACGGCTCTGCATCCCTCCTCCAAAGTGCCAATGAGTTTGTGATTCAGAACTTCTCTGAGCTTTCCAAAACCCAGGACTTCCTGGATATGCAGGTACAACTGACAAGATAGTGAAGATATTATATCCTAGAAGCTGATTTTGATGCAGCGGCATATGAAGATTATAATTCAATAAATCCATATGAACACACTCAGTATTAATCATTTAATCTGCTTCTTATAGGTAAATGTGTTGGAAGCATGCCTGAGGTCAGATGCTCTAAATGTGCCCAGTGAGGAGGCTGTGGTGATGTCTCTTCTTAGATGGATACGCCATGATCTCTCGGAAAGACAAAAGCTGTTGCCGGGTTTGTTATCTCTAACCAGATTCCACCACCTACCTGCACCTGTACTAAAGGTAAGAGCATGCTGCATGTACAATATGTTTGTGTTTTATATGTGGTCGTATTATAGTCTCACCCTTCCTTTGTGACACCTTACAATGCCTCTTAGACTCTGCGTGATGCAGATGATCTCCTCTGCAATAGTGAGTCCTGCCTCGCCCTGCTCTCTGAAGCTCAGAGCAGGCAGGATCAGTACAGCGGCCTGCTCTCTGACGCCAGGCCAGCCACCACACAGAGCTACATCTTCATCCACAAAACAGAGGAGAACGGCGAGATCCGCCACAGCTTCTGCTACCATCTGGAGACAGACCAGTGGACAGAGCTGGGAACAGGGCACGGAGAGGGGACGGCCATGATGCCAGACCCACCGGGTTCCTACCTTACCAGCTTTGCTGAGAAGGTACGTTTGAGATTGAACGTTGCTGCTATTAAGCGCAGAGTCTCCTAACCTTTTTTGCATTGTTCTCTTTGAAATTGTCAACTTACGCACCCCTTACTGCAAGTAAAAGCTTTGGTGTTGGCCCAGGTTATAAGTTTTCTTTTCCAGATTGTTTTATTTGAAGAGACCCCCAGAGGTTGAAGTATCCACTATGTTACAAGTAATAAAACAATAATTATTAAAAGTCAGAACAATAATCCATCATTTTCTTATCTTTCCACTGTATCACTAAGATATTTGTGACAGGTGGATGCCGGGGGAACTGTTGCCGGGCAATACGTCTCCATGTGGCCGAGCCGTTCCATGACGCCACAGATGAGGTTTGGTGCTTCTGTCCTGTGACCCTCACCTGCACGCCGGCTCCAGCCATGCTGAAGCCCAGAACCACACACACAGCTGTAACCTGCCTGGACCGTATCTACGTCATTGGAGGACGGACAAGGGGATCCAGAGGGGGGGCTCCCAGTCTGCTGGAGGTAACAGTGTACTCTTTATAGACGATTATGACCAGATTCTTGGTTAAGATGTCCATTCATTATTACATTTGTATTGTGCCAGTACAAATACTGTTCTTTAACATATATTCCAGGTGGAGTACTTTAATCCTCTGACCCAGACCTGGAGCTCAGTCAGCCCACTGCCCACCGCCATCTACTACCCTGAGGCCAGTGCTTGTGGCAGTGTTATCTATACACTGGGGTCAGAAGTGGAGATAACAGATTCCTTTAACCCTTCACTGGACTGCTTCTTCAGCTATGACGCACAGCAGGACCAGTGGAGCCGCCTGGTGGCCGAGTTTGGACAATTCTTCCATGCTACTCTTGTCAAGGCAGTGTCAATAGATAACACACTGCACATCTGTGACCTGTCCACTTACAAGGTGAGCCCTCAGCTGGGCACGAATGAATGAATGAGTTGTTATTATTGTATCTCAATGTGTTTATAGTTTAAGCTTTCCTAGAACTGTTTAAATAATGAAACACAGAGTTCAAAAGTGTGACTTTTCCCATCCAGGTCTACAGTTTTTGTCCAGAGACCTGCGTGTGGAAGGGTCAAGGGTCCTTTGAGTGTGCTGGTTTCAACGCAGGAGCAGTGGGTATGAAAGACAAAATCTACATCCTGGGTGGAGACTATTCACCTGATGAGATCACTGATGAAGTTCAGGTAGGAGAAGCTTTTATCCATAGTAGCTGACCTACTGAGACATTTTAAGTCATATTCCTTAACCAAAGGCACAGGCCACCAAATCTGTCAACATGGATCTTAATGGTAAATTGGCTCTGCTTTGAGGAAGCCTAGAAGAAGTGATCAGTAGATCAGTAGATAACTATTGACATATTCATAAATATAGTCAACATTTAACAAATAAGGCTTGCTATTTTTGTCAGTTTATTGTTTTAAAGCGTTAGTTTCAAGCAATATGTATCGAGTAATTTTGCCATGATATCTCTATATTCACACTGCATATGAAGAGTACGTTATTTATTATTACTCTCACTTATATTTTATTTATCACAATTACAGTAAAGAGGAAAGCTTATTTATGATACATTAGAATGATAAAGTTATTGATTTACTAGCAAGGACACACCAAAGACCAACAATATGTGATTAAAGTGTAAATGAGTAACAACAACGAGAATGGATGGAAATAAGAGAGGGGATGGTTTGGATAATACCTGGAGATGGTAGAGAAAGGAATAAAAGAGGAAAATTGAGTTAAAGGTATAACCTGACGTCTGCTGATATTTCTCTTTCTGTGTTTCCTTGTGGCCTGCGCAGGTGTACCACAGTGGGAGAAGTCAATGGGAGGAAGTGGCTCCCATGCCCAGAGCGCTCACTGAGTTCCACTGTCAGCTCATCAGCTTCAACAGATACAAAGACCCATGGGGGGACACAGCAGATACACACTCTTGAATATAGTTGATTTGCATGTGTGTTACATGTGTCTCTGATGGATGCTGGACAGCTGACAGAGGGAAAGACAACCTTCCACCAACACCACATCTTTCTCACATCATTATGACAAGACTGCGCCTGAGCCAGATTATGTACTACTTTTTAATTTAAACATTTGATTTCATATGTTCACTTTGCACGAGTGAGTTGTCTGCTGTCATAGGATCTTTGTTGTATTTAAATAAAAATGTGGTCCCTCCCATGGAGGAACCTTATTGAGCCAAAGACTACAGTATATTGGAAAGCCTATTTTAATAACTGACATATTTTGTTCTGGTGATTTAGCTGATGGAAACCTGCTCATAGTATATTACCTTATTTAAAACTCAACAGAAATCCTCTTGACACAATTGTGTAAATAATCTTGTTGGATTTTCACTTTAATCTACTTGCCTTTATCCTGTTTAGCCTGTCATGTATCCATGCATGCCCTTTTTCTCCTCTCATGAAATAACATTCTACATGTGATCAATACACAGATCACCTGACAACTGAACCTATAGATCAACACTGTACCTTGGAAGAACATATATATATACGGTTGTGTTAAGAAACCTACAAAAATAATACAAAAAATACAGTAATGTTTTATTGGCAAGGAGTGAATATAAACATAATGTTTTATTAATTGAGTTGATGTGTTTTTTTTTGAGTAGATACAGTGTCTGCATGTGATACATTCATCATCTCAAGTAAAAACAGAACAATAGACACAAGAGCATGGTTTTATGTTTCAAAGGGCACATCAATGGCACAGTGACATGCATGTACACCACTGTTAGAGGGATTACATCCCTTTAAAAATAGAGCAGCAAGCCCCTGTTCTTTTATTTTTAATCACCCGCATGTTTTCTGTAACTCCTCCTCTGGCCTTGTTCAGAAATTCAAAGTCACATTCAAAAACGTTTGAGAATAAATACACTGATCAGTTGACTTTGAAATTGTCATTGATAATCTGCCCCATCTGTAACAAGCACATGGTTATAGGACTCTAATGAAAGCTGCAGCTCTGGACCTGACCAGATTAAAAGAATGATAAAATGTAAACACTGTCTGAACATGAATCACTTAGCAGCAAAGGCCTACAGTAACCATGCTGGTTTTCCTCATATCGCTCCGACTCATCTGGCACCTCGGTCATCTCCTCTCTTCTTGCTCCATGATTTAGTTTTGGTAAGTTTTCACCAGCAGCCACATCAGCAGCACAGTGATTAAGACGATCGTGAAGTTGATAAACAACTCCTGGACTGAGCGATCCATGGTGGTATGACACCCGAGGATAGGAGGAAAGAAGGAGACAAGAAGGAAGGATGCAGATGTGTTGGATGCTTTTACAAAGGTTTGGCTGGTCCTGGACCTGAGAGGTGCAAACAGCAGAAAACAATACATGATATATGTGTGTGTGTTTGTGTGTACATGTTTTGTCCCTCGTTTGTCATTATAAATTCGAAGTCAAAGCCACTTCTCTGGCGGCCTCAGGGAGAAGGGCCACAATGTTCCCTCATATGTACACAAGGGACATAACGCATACTTCCACAAAGCATAAAAATAAAAAACACATCATTATCACATAAGCAAAGAAATACCATTCCAAAATCCTTTTACACTTTTTCATTTCTTATTGTTAGTTGCATCATTTTGAATGGTTTTCATTGAATTATTGGCCATATTTTTTTGTTACTAACAACAACATCATTATTACAAATGACAACACAAAATAGAATCATTGAGCTGTTACCTTTCCGCTTGGCACTGTAAGAAGAAGAAGGAGAAATTAGATATTCTTCTCTTTTCCAGCAGTACTTGACTTCAGAAAGCTTGTCTTCTCACTGGAAGCTTCTCTTGTGTGGCACCTCTTCTCTGCAGCATCTACCAGCAGCTGTTCTTCTTGCTGTTGTCCCGTTCTCTGGACAGTGGAAGGGGTCTCTCCTAAAGTAGCCATCCTCAGCGGACCGCCCATGTTTCACATGCACACAGACTGATGTCACACACCTTTTTCACAATCTCATCCACTGGTGTACCACACAACAGAGGAGGGAGTCAGGGCTATTTATAAAACATTATTGCAGATAAAGGTGGATTACAGTGTTTGCAAATACAATACTCACAACTTCAGATGGATAAAGGAAACTGTAACAGTATCTGAGTATCTCTGTATGAGCCATATGCACAATGGGGAAACAAGTACAACAAAGCGCCATTATTCATCAATCTGTCACAGAGCAACTTTGCAAAAAAAAGGAAAGGTCAATTCCTCCCAGTTATCTAAATTTGAAATCTGAAAGTTATTAAAATACAATAAGGAGATGTGTTTGTCATTGGATAGGGCTGCCTTTAGAGCCTGGCACCTTTTCTAAATTGATTTCTATTAACTGATGAATGCACATAGCCTGGGCTTAACCATATTCTGCTCCCCTCAGGGAAGTGCACCAATATACTGTATTAGCTCCACTGGGATAAGTAGGTTATGTTTTATATAGCTCTATAGTGTAATAATGATCCCTGACCAAATTGTATATCAAACGTGTATCAATCAATCAATCAATCAATCAATCAATCAATCAATCAATCAATCTTGTCAACTTTGTTTCAACTATATAAGTGGCATGCATTGTAAGAAAATGAAAACAACTCTCATGTCTTTATGAGTAATAGCCTATGCCATGGAGTTAAAGCTAGCAGCTGGTTAGCTAAGCTTAGCAAAATGTGTGGAAACACAGGAACAGAGAGCAAAATCCAACCAACCAGCACCTCTTTTTTCAGAGCTTTTATGTTGTACCTATCTAAAGATCCAGCCTAGCTGTTCACTCCTGCTTCCAGCCTTTGAGCTAAGCTAAGCTAGGAGATGATAAACAGCTGCTGGCTAAAGTTCCATGTTTACGATGCAGTAATTGTTGTTGAATTTATTCCATCCAACTCTCCGCCAAGCAAACAAGTGCATTTGCCAAAATTATTAAGTTTTTTCTTTTTCTTGTGGTCGTGTCCACCCATTGTATTTTTGCATTGTTCTATGTTATGATGGCGCTAAGAAAGGGATTTCTGACGGTTGACCACAGCAAATCTCACACTTGACAGCTGCTTAAAACGGTGTTATCTCTGAACTAATGTTAAACCCCCTTGACACAGACACCTTCTACTGTACACACAGAGGAGTTACAGCAGGACGGGTGTATGAGCTCGGCTAGCCTTGAACCTTTCCATTACAGGATTCCAAGGTCATTCCCAGAGGATTAACAGATCAAAAAGACTGCCATTTTAGCACCATGCTGCCCTGCCAGCGTCGGCCCAACAGCTATTTGACCCAGGGATTCCCATTGTCAGGGAGATCTAGCGCTTGGGTGCTTGATTAAAGCAGGGTGAGTTGTCCAGGCATCTCTGTGTGGGGTGGACCATGGCCCACTCTGACAGCTGTGTGCTTGTGTATAAGCGCTGGCAGGGTTACCCTCCAAATCAGTGGAGACAGAGCGGTGTCAACAAGGCCTCAGAGTGAGACACCATTCCACACATTCTGGGACATTGAGTGTGTATGGTATGTTTGTGTGTGTGTGTGTGTGTGTGTGTGTGTGTGTGTGTGTGTGTGTGTGTGTGTGTGTGTGTGTGTGTGTGTGTGTGTGTGTGTGTGTGTGTGTGTGTGTGTGTGTGTGTGTACATGCATACTGTATGTGCATGCATCAAGCCTTATTGGCTGAATTTGTTCAGTTATAGCACAATTAACAAAAGAGTGGACAAATCAACTTGATCAAGAATTCCTCTGCAGCTATGTATGCCATGAGACAATGAGCTATAAAATAAAGATGCTAAGCAGCTCATAATTAACATGATCACGGTAGTTCAGCATTCATGATTTACTGGAATACAATCAATAATGCTTAAATATATACAGATTTGACTATTATTGTAATTCTGCTTTACTTTAAAAAGTATATATAGATATGGATAATATTTTACATCTGACAGCCAATTTAAAATTGAAAAAGATAAGTCAAACAGGATTTGATGCAGAAAATGTGCTATGAAGAAAAGCATTTCCCTAATGCCATGTGGTTCAGCCTGAACATTATGTACAAATAGCTGGCACTGAAAAAATGATTTAGCCCACAGCTTTGCCTTTTCGAGTGTTTAAATATGTTCCAGTAGCTTTGATTGAAGGGGAGACACACATACACCAATCTCAAAGTTCAGCACTGTTGCGGTTTTGGTATTCAAAATCAAAGTCAAAGTCAATATTATTATCAATTTCTAACTGTATGTGATGCAAAATAACCTGTTCCATCACCCTTCATTGTTTTGGAGTATCTTTCTCCACAAGACAGATGTCTATTTGCACAGAGTACCAAGATATCAGAATCACTATTTTAAAAAGCAGGGTCCGGTTTCTTTATCCTTCCATCTCTCGCATGCAGTCCTGAGCTAATTAGGCTAAGATGCCAGCAACTTCTTTGCCAGCCTCAAATCAAAGGGTAAAGGCATGCCTCAGGGTAAACAAATGGTGCCACTCTGGTTATCACCGTTATACTGCTCTTTCCGAGCGTGGCTGATGTGTGAGGTGAAGCTGCCCTTGAGCACTAGCAAGGGAAATATCTTCCTAATCTCCTGAGAGTGATATTTCCATTTGGCAGAACCTTGACACTCTTTGTTCACAAGTTCATAAATATCTAGCCAACTCGGCAACATTTTGTTAAAATTAGACTTATAAGATAAAGTTAAAAGTTTGTATAACAAAAATAGTAACGAAACAAAATTTCACTTCAAGCTTGAGATTTTTATCATGTTACATGCTTATTTTTTATTTTGAATGGAACTTTGTTAGCTACTTCTCAACTGCTGTTTCCGAGATCACAAATGTACTTTGAACCTCAGCTTTTGCAGCTTGCATGTGAAGTCCTCTTAAAAAAGAAAAAGTAAAGTACAAAAAACTGCTCAATGTTCGCAGGAAGATTGTGTCACATTAGAAAGTTCCAGAGCAGCTACTAAGCAGAGCCAAAGGTTGGATCGTTTTCTCAACTTCTTACAATAAGATTAGGAAGTCAAATTGACTGATTGCAGCACACTTGTCCATCAGAATTTTTTCAAAGAATTTAAAATGGATTCCTGCCCTTTGAATCAAACCATCTTTCCCCTCTTTAAAAAAATGTTCTGTGCATGGCATAAACAAATAAATTCAAACAAAGAAGTGATCTTATTTATGTTATTTCAACAGTTTATTGTTGCAAACATTACCTATTTGTAAATTATTTCCAAATCCTCATGCTAGCCCTGATTAATTGCCCTACAAATGTACCTGATGCTCATAAAGAGTAGATTCTTTGTATATTTAATAATTACACCGTTTTGAAAACAAGATGGAGCAGAGTGTTGTTATGATGTTGGAAAGGGCAGCCTCCTGTCTCCTGTCTGACCAGCTGTTGTTTTGTCGAACCAACTGAGCATGCTGTTAAGATGAGGAAGGGTGCACTGGCCAGCAGCTCAGCCTGGCACTGTAATTACTGAGATGGCTGAGGACAGGTGAGGGCCTCATTACACAACACACCCGTGTATAATCGCACACACAGACGCACAAATGTTTCACTCTCATAAACACATACAAAAACGTCAACGTGCATGCTGGAACATATGCTGTAGAGGAATTCAGGGAGGGAGGGAAGAAGCAGAGAATGCAGCAAACCGGCAGAATAAAACTATAGAATAGGCACGGGTCATTTAAATTTAGCAACATGCCTGAATTTGATTAGCATCTGCCCTGATGTGTAGGATATTGAGTTTGTTAATGTATATACCTGGCCCAGCCTGTGATAATACTCTTTCAATCTTAGGTAATATTAGAGTATCCTCAGTTGCCAGCATCTGAGTGCAGTCTGATGATGGATGAACTAATTGGATGGAAGTGGAATGGCAAACAGTCTCCCAAGGATAGTCATCCTACATACTTACACTTTTATCCCTTAGTATCAAGTTATCAAGGCCTATAGAATTATCCCTGGAGCAAATGTGTCTGTCTTTTGTTGGGAGATTAGAAAGGCATGCAGCATGGATTTGCCATCAGGGTTTAAGTACTATAATGGACAAACACTGGATGTCAGTAAGGCTTGAATACCAAGAGACAGATGGTTTGCTCAGAAGAGAAAAGAGAAGGACTACTTGCATAAAAAGGGCAAGAGTAATACGATCATTAGCTTGACAGATATACACCACAATAGAACATTGTGTCCCTGCTTGGATAACCACTTGAAAATATATATCCAGTATATCCAGTCTCTGATTGTGTTACGTTATTATGAGAGTGCTCTCATACTTGTTTGATTCTGAAATTGTATATGTTTATATTTTATATGTGTGTGTGTATATGTCCGCATCTGTAGCCTGTTATTGTCTCATTATACCGCACTGTCAATGAATTAAAAGTAAATATATGTAAGTCGTCATGAACACATCTGTCCATCAGAGTGGAACAGACGTCTCTTTAATATGACCGCTCAGAGCAGAGGAGTTCTCATTTCTCTAACCGCCTGCTGCTTCCCCTCCTCTCTCCTCGGTTCCCCTCCTCAGTCCTCCGCTCGCATCTCCTGTGGGCAGCACCGAGTCTCGAGGAGAGGAGTCGAGGATAGGAGTCGAGGAGGGGAAATTTGAGTATTGAGAAACCTCTATAGAGTCTCTGACAGGGTTGACCAACAATCTTTGAGCAGATTTTTAACAGGTGGAGCAGTTTTGATTTTAAAGCTGCTGACAAACATTTGTACCAGGTAGTATTGCAGTAATGCAGAATAGACATGATCACAGATGTAAAGAACAACAGAAGAATTTCTCTGCTCGCCCCAAAAGACCTAAGACGGCGGAGAAAATAAATTCTTTGTTTTGTCCTTTTGCACAGATATTCAATGTAATCCTTCCATGACAGCAGATGGTCAATCATTACACCCAACTATTTGTATGAAACTCCCTGCTTGATTTCATCTGTATGGATGACAATGGGGACTTTATGGGAGTCAGATGGTGAGCCAAAAATGATTTCCTCAGTTTTCTTGGTGTTGATCTCAAGAGCATTGTTATCAGTCCACTCAACCACCTGATTTACAGCCTGTTGGTGCAGCTCAGGGTCGTCTGTGTTACTGAGCAGAGATATTATTGCAGTATCATCAGAGTACTTAATGATGACTTGATTTGGTGTGTTGGTACGACAATCCTCAGTGTAGAGAGTAAAGAGCACAGCTGAACTCACACAGCGCTGGGGGGCCCCTACATTGGTTGTGATGGCAGATGACAGGGTTTTGTTAACCTTCACAAGTTGCTCTCTACTAGTGAGGAAAGCAGCATACCAGTAAATCAGGTATGGATTTACTTCCATTTTGGCCATTTTTGACACCAAGATGTCTGCTTGTATTGTGTTGAATGCTGATGAGAAGTCTAGGAAGAGGGCTCTTGCATAGGTGTTACGTTTATCTAAATGTTTAGTGATGATGTGAACCAGAGGGGCCACAGCATCTTCCGTGCCTCACCCTTGTTTATAGGCAAGTGGGGTTTACATTACAATATCTATACATGAGGAGTACCTAAGAGTATAACTGTGGTTTTACTGTATTTTTGGTATAAATAATGATTATGTAACTGTGTTTTATAACACAGTACTGTTTATTCGTTTTGAATTTTTACACTGTAATTTTGTTATTACGAAATATTATTATTAAGGTTTACTGTATTCAATATAAGAATAAGTATATCTGGTTGCCAGCAATTTTAAAGTAGAAGTAAAAGGGAGAAGCATGCAGAACTCTTACTTGTATTTTTACAGAATATGGTTGTTTAAGAAAGTGAGAAATTCTTCCACCATAGAATTGTATACGTTCCTCTTGTGCTTTTTCTGCTCTGACCATAGACTGTATATATAAAGCTCTGACACGTTAAAAATATCTGCTCTGAAAAGGGTGTTAAGGGAGGCCAGCAATGCTGTGTGGTGTGTAGTGTATAGTCAGTAAAACGTTGCAGGTGCTGCTCTCGAGAATCGCGGGGAACGTTCGGTGTTCGGAGCATGTTGCACCCGGACAATAAAACATGACGCACCATGGATGCTACTGTGGAAAACAACGTGAAGCCCATCAGGAGGAGTAAAGAAGACAAGAAAGTTATTCGTAAACAGTTAAAAGCGAGTCACACTTTGCTGAAACATGAAGGCATTAGTACAGCACCGCAGCCTACAAAGGTATTTTAAAAATAAAAATAAAAATAAAGAGTAGAGTGAGCGAAGAAAGCTAGCTAACATGTAGCTTTTTCCAATCAACGTCTTAGTTACCTCTTTTAAGATATTACAGCTACAGCAATAACACATAATTTAAGTCTGACTCAGTTCGGCTAAGTCATGGTTGTTGTCAATGATCTGTTGTATCCTAGGACAAGTCTATATAATGACAACGGGAAGTGAGTGTCATGACAATGTAGCAAATGAAGTAATCTCAACATTATGAAACATTCATTTACTGTAAAGTTAGAAGTCGTAAAAATCATTTATTCTCTATTTTTAATTACTATGGCTCTAACTTATAAGGCCTATGTTTAAAGTTTTTCTTTACAGCAAAGATTATACTTTCTAAGCAGACTTAGGGGTAATTGGGTGTATCAGATGATGTTCTTATCTTACTAGGTTGTATTACAGGACAAAGTGAGTTCAGGGGTGTATGTATTATAAGACAATCACTCTTTACAATTAAAGTCTTTCTTGCTTTTTTTGTAGTTTTTCTTGTTAAACTGTTCTGCATAAAATCAACCAGTCTGCCTCTGTCTCCTCTGCAGAGTTTGGTGGTGGCCAATGGGGGTCTAGGGAATGGCGTCAGTCGAGAGGAGTTGTCTGCAGCGCTGAAACAGATGGGAGAGATGGACAAACTGATCATGCACCCTAACAAACCCTACGCTTTTGTCACATACAGGTACAGTTGCTGCATTGACAATACCAGGAAGTTATTTTAAACCTTTAAAACATGGTACATTTGAGTTCAAAACTTACACTTGTGTTATTGTCATTTTCCAGATCTGAGGAGAGTGCTCGGAAAGCCCACATAAACCTTAACGGGGAAAAGCTTCAATGTGGCGAGAACAGCGTCACACTCTACCTCAGTTATGTAGACTCAGGTACTTGGCACCAACAGTTGTAAGATCTGCAATAATTTTTTTAATCATTGTTTGTGTATATTTGAACAGTAAGTTGGATAACTAAAGACAGCCATTAGATGTGTGCATCTGCTCTATCCTCTGAGATGTCAGAAATTAAAAATATTTTGGTAACCAGTAGTAGTGTGCACTGTAAATTAAATATAAAGAAATCCTTAAATCATGCAGCACCTTGTTTTAACACAGGTTGTGTTGTGCTTTACATCAACTTCAGTACAGATAAAAAGTGAACCCTAACCCTAAAAGAAAAAAACAAATACAGAGTGAATAAGAGAAAGAAATTAAATAATGCATACTTTCCACACAACATATGGCAATCAGTCAGAACCCAGATCAACACCTTGTCATTATAGAAAAATGTATCCTAGGAAATGGGTTTTTAGATGTATTTGAAATTGCAGCTTGTGGCAAATCATCTATTTAACAAATCCAACTATGCTTTGTTTACGTGTGTATGCAGTAACCTGTGAAGAGGAGGCGTCTGTTCCTCTGCCTGAGGGATTGGTCTTGGTGGAGGACTTTGTGTGTTCAGAGGAAGAGGCTCTGCTGCTCGCTGCCATTGACTGGTCATCTACTAATACTGATGTCACTGGTGAGGGTCTGCATAATGGGTTTTGTCAAATGTTTTTTTAGTTAAAGGTGACCTATCATGCAAAAATGCACTTTTGTACGTCTTTTATACATGAATATGTGTCCCCGGTGTTCCAGGGAACTCACCGAGTGTCAGAAAACACAACCCTCTCTATTTTCCTCCATACCNAGAGGTTTCTCAATACTCAAATTTCCCCTCCTCGACTCCTCGGTCCTCCGGTAGTGACCCGGAAATGGATTTCAGCGCGCCATTTTGAAGGACATCTCATTTCTCTAAATGCACTTCGAGGACCGAGCATCGAGCATCGAGGAGGCTCTCTGGAGGAGCTCTAACCGAGGAGGCACTGATGGGTCCTCCACGGCTCCTCCCGTTCTTATTATACATCCATAGGCTCCTCCACGGATGCATTTCCGGGAACGGTGGAGGCGTGACGCACGGCCGGACTTATCTCAGCCAATGACAGCTCTGCATGCATCCCTTGGATATTATATTAGTAACTGCTTTCATCGCAACGCGATGTTTACAGTGAGAACAGCTGTGAGGTCTGTGCAGAAAGCAGAGCAGTGTGTACAATATATATCACTCAGTATAACAGGCCTACATTACTTTCTGTATTTGTATTCTGTAGTTTAGTAGATATCTACAAACAAAGAGTCGATATTTTTCTAACACCATTTAGTGATTCACATAATAAAATACACAACGGCTGTAGCCTGATTATGCTTTAGGAGCAGTGTGTGTGTGGTACAGTGTGTAGGAGTGTGTGTGGCACAGTGTGTAGGTGTGTGTCGTACAGTGCGTAGATATGGCGGACAGACGGGTCTCAGTTGGTTTGGTGTCCTATGCTTACTTTTAATACTTGTACAACTTTTGGCCCGTAATTTCAATTCCCCATTTCAGCGACCAGAGAGAGG